CGAGACTTCTGTTTTCTTTACTCTTAGTTGTTTGCTTTAAAATCCATTTTCAGCAACTGGTTTAAATAATTGCTTGTAGATTTGCAATTGAACTGCAGTGTAAAAGCAAACACAGGTATTGTAAAAGTCTGCGAAAAGAGTTCTTGAATCTCCACTTGACATTAGATGAAAGTGTGGCCTTCCCTTGGCTTTTGTTCCTGGGTCACAGAGGTAGGTGTTGCAGATTTCTTGCTTAATGCAGTTCAAGGTCTAGCTGCCCTTGCTGTCCCCTTTAATTGTCTGTTCTGATGGCATCTGCTGGCAGGCAAATCTCATTCTTGCTTGAAAAATTCAGTAGCATTGTTCCATGTGTGTTTTGGAAACAGAAATCATTAGTCTAGCTGTGGCAAGAGGCATAGTAACAAATATGGTATTTTGACTTAACTGGCTTCTTCCAGTTGGAACAGCCACCAGGAAAGGATGTTCAGTTAATTTCCCTATCCTTTTAAAAAACTTCTTCCTATGATGACATTGCAAACTCTAGTGGACCTTGATCTGCCCTATTGCAACCATTCTTGCCCTAGTCTATAAACTTTCATTTTTATGTTAGTCTTCATTGTGATTTTGTTATATGTAGCAGAGCAGTCTAAGCAGTGTACCACTGAACTGTTTTTTGCCTGTCTTTGACCTTTGCAGGAGACAAATGAGGAATAACATATTTTTGGTTGTGAATAGAAGTTTACAGCTACAGAAGCAACAGTTTCAGCTGATAGACTTTTTGGTTGAAGTAATACTTTCTAGTATGGACAGCTTAATTATTCAGTGTTAAATTATCACCAATAGGTTTCCCAAAATAACTGAAACCTAAAAAAAAGGTGAATAAAAAGAAGAAACCAGTCAGTATGGCAAGGACCTTGTTAAGGCAAGATTTCTGCCCCTTCCCCCCACCCCAATTTTAAACCTATATCACATCTTTGAACTGTGAGAGGTCTCTCTGCCAATTTTCATGTGTCTTCCTGAATTAAGACTGTAATTATTCTTATTCTGGACTATTAAATGACAGTGAAAGGTGTCACAGGTATAATTTCTATGGAAATTAGTGTTTTCCTTGGTGCATTTTTATTTTTGAGGTAAATATCTATGAGGTAGGATCACCTCTAAGGCTTGCTGAAGGTGCAGGTCCTGTTTCTGCCAAGAATTCAGGCTTTTCAGTCTTTACTTGTGATTTTCCTGACATGCAAAATCCATTCAGCAGGGCAGCTTGTTAGAACAACCCCTGCTATATGTCCTTTACACATTACAACTAATTTTCAGTTATGATAGTGTTCTTTTGATTGATCCTATGGTCCTGGTTTTCTTTTTAAGCTTACCAAGAGATCTGTAATACTTGATCAGTAGCTTGCAGCCAGTTTGCTGATACCTAATAAATGAGATATTCTATGTGATACTGCTGAACTCTTCAACTACCTAAATTCTTCAGTCCTGTAAGCTGTTCCTGGAGGAACTGTGGTTCTGAGCTAGGTTCTTCCTGCTTTGTCAGGAAGCAGCAGAATGGGGAGACTGCTCCCTGCATTAGTGTGAGCCAAGGGTGACCACAACAAGTATGGATCTATTTGCTCACTGACCCGTGGTGCAAGAAGATCAGAAGAAGTTTAGTGCCAGAAGAACAGGCTTGGGCAACAGTCCAGTGGTTATCAGAAAGGTTTGTTGTGAGGAGAGAGGCTTGAGGACAAGTCAGGATTTGAGTTTGATGGATCGGCATCAGCGAGATACCCAGCCAAGTACAGATTAGCTACAGCACAGCTGATGCAGGAGCCTGAGGAAGAGGCCCTTGATGAGCTTCTACACAGGTCACTCAGCTGCATTTTGTCAGAATTGGTCTTAAGCAGAGATGCCTTAACTCCTAGGATTGGTGAAAGAGGTTGTGGAGCCTGTTGATAAGCTCAGGGCCCTGCCATTGGTATCCTGGGAAAGTTTTCACTATGCTTGTAGCAAAGCTGTAAGTTATGACTTTCAGGACTGATTACATACACTCACACCTGTACGAAAAAGGAGCAATGGTGATAACTGATTTCTGTATTCTAGAAATGTTGGTGTATCTTTTCTTTTCGAATTGGTGCTGTTCAAAACACTGCTGATAGAGCCCAGAGAGGCTCTAATTGATGCAGGCTGGAACTCTGAAGTAGCTGGCAACTTTGAGCAGTTGCAAGACTTAATAACTCTCAGAGCTACCCTTGCATATGTTGTAAAAAATAAGAAATTGAATTTGTATTATTGTAAGCTAGGATGTCCTCTAAAGGACACATCCTTTTGTGTCCTCTAAAGGACACATCCTTTTGTTTCTCCATCAGTCAGGCCGTTCCTGTAGACATGGTGAATGTGATTAGTCTCTGCAGCAAAATGGAGTTTGATCCTTTTGGTTTTTGTTGCTGTTAATGTGCTTTTTTTTTTTTATTTGTTGAAGGAGGTCGTTAGATAACTGAAAGCATAAGACCTCTCTGTCTTTGAGGAGAAATGCTTTCTACATTTTCAGGTAGTTTCAAAGACAAAAAAATTCCTAAGCTCAAGTATTTGCAAGATGTGCATGTTCAGTGAGCATTCACCTGTAGGTAATCCAAGTTCAGTTGTTTTTTAACAATATCCTGTTTTGTCTTACATCTCATAACATGGAAGTGTTATTATATGTGGCTTTTAGAATTTGGATTTGTGTTATACAGTTGAATGAAATGTAAATTTGGAGGGTGCACAAAGTAAGACTTGGCTATGGTTTCAAAATGAATGTTGAAATACAGCTTACAGTGGCATTTTGTGACAGAATCACAGAGTGGAAGGGATTGCTGAAAGTCATCTTGCCCCATTCTTTGCACAAATACAGTCACCTAGAGCAGGTTGCCCAGAAGAGGCCTTTTGAACATCTCCAAGGAGGGATACTCCACAACCTTCATGGCCAGCCTGTGAGACACTGCTCAGGCACAGTAAAAAAGTGTTTCCTCCTCTGGTCCTGTCACTGGGCACCACTGAAAAGAGCATTGCTCCCTCTTTCTTTGCATGCTTTCTTCAGGCATTTTTGTACATTGATGAAATCTTCCCGAATGGTCAGGTTTGCCAGGTGAAACAGTACCAGCTTTATCAGCCTTTTCTCATAGGTTCCCTTAATCATATTTATGGTTCTTTGCTGGATGCTCTCTGCTATATCTATGTCTCTCCTGTACCCAGGAGACCAGAAAATGACAGAAAATAAAACTGTTGTTGGAGATAACATTCTTTGAAAATTGTTGTAAACCCACGTGTAGTGCATGACAGCAGGAACTATTAGTGACTTCCTGGAAGAGGCATATTAACAGTGTGTGCCTAAAGAAACTTCATACTTTAAAACCTCAGTTTAAGTAACAGCTAGATGTAATTGATAAAGCTTGTAACTTAATAAACCACAGCATAAACAAAGGTTTCTGACAAAGAAGTATCTGGATTTTGACTTCAGCTGTTTTGAAGTCAGAACATTCTACAGCATCTTATGAAGGTGAATCTGTGTCAATCTATAGCTGAAGTCAGAGTGCTTTCAGACAGTTGTCTTGATATCTCACTTTGGCTGCATTATCTTTACTCTTTGGAGAGGTAGCAAGTGAAAAGAGCAGTTTATTTCTGTGTTTCCACTCCCCTTCCTTTTCCTTTCCACCCTTCTTCCTCCCTCCCTCCTACCCTCCCAGTTGAAGGAAAAAAGAACGGAGATTGAATAGGTTTAGATTCTCTGATGGAGGCTAGGAATTTCTGACATTTTTCTTTGTTTGTGCTTTCTATCACACTATATTTCTTGAAGATAACAGGTACTAGAAAAGATTATCAAACAGAAACAATAGTTGTGTCAAAAGAAAGTGGAATCATGAAAAGCTCATTATTATATGGTTTTGTCTCAGAAAGTTAATATTTCAAGTTAATACTTAAACAAAATGAGGCCTTTTAACTATTCTGAGCTCAGAATTTTACCCCAAAAAACCAGTCACAGTATATGTATTTTAAGAAATACAGTTTAATAATATGCTGCTGGACTGTTTAATTTTTATGCCTTAGGGTAGCACAGAGCACTATTTTTACTTTTAGAAGCTTCTTCTCATTAGTGTAGTCTCTTATATAGCACCTGTTTTAAACTCCAAACCTGAATCTACAAATGTAAAACCTGACTTTTGAAATATTTGCTTTTTTGAACACTCTTCTTTAAAGGACCTATCAGGATCTCTCCCCAAAATGCTAGAAGCATGAAGGATAAGGGAGGAACAATGTTGCATGGCCCAAACACATGTGCTTTCGTCATTAGCAAGGTACAGCATGACCTCATGTTGACCTCAAAGGTAAATGGCTACCAGGGAACAATTATACATGCCTGTGAAAGCAGCTTAGTTTTGAACAAGAGAATAATTCAGTGTATAGAATAAAATTAAATTTGCAACACTGTCTACCTTTCCCCTTCTCTGTCTTGTCTCTCTCCAAGTCTCTTCTTGAGAGAATGTTGTTTCTTATATATGTGTTTGTTGCGAGAGAAAACAACTTTTCTAGAGGTCATAATGAATTCCTAAATATGGGGAACTCAAAGGATCTTGTATCCAATTTAGTCAAATTGTACATCTTACAAGTAATTCCCTTTTTAATGAAAAGTTTCATTTGTTATCTAGAGTATTGGTATTGCAGCCTTCAAAATGTATATCTGTGTTAGTTGGGGAATCTTGCCAAGTTCCGAAACGTGTAGATCATTTAGACTTATGGGAGAGTTTTTCTAAATAATAGTAGATTAATTTTTTTGTGCTTATCTTAGACTGCAACACAAACTTATGACATTTTATTTTTTCATAGAAGACAATATTCTGTAGCATTATGTGATACGTCACTACAAATGATGGAATATTATTTAGCTAGCAGTTCTGAGCTATTTGGAGAAGAATTGCTGCCAGCATCTCGGAACTGTTAGCCATATCTATCCCATATTATTTGTATAATATAATTGTTTGATGTAATTCTTTTTTTCCTAGAATGAGAGAGCATATTCCTTCTGTGGAACAATAGAATATATGGCTCCAGATATTGTAAGAGGGGGAGACGCAGGACATGATAAGGTATGTTCTATGTTTATTACTGAAAATAAACTAATTCTTCAGTCAACATATTGCTCATCTTCAGGGGTTTTTGTAAAATATGACATGTTATTTATGTATGTGTTATTTAAGGTTGTCCTAAGATAGATTGTTTCCTGTGTCTTCAATTGTGTTGATGTGTTTTGCTCTTCTGATCTGAAGTAAAAGGCATATTTATAAAGATATTGAGGCTTATTTGTGTTCTGTTCAAAATTTGTTCTAAATATGCCATGGGACAATAAACTTAGTTAACACTTTTTTGCCTTTGCATAAAAAACTAGTTCAGAGTGGAAAATGGTTTGTGGCTAATTCTGATATACATTTTAAACTGGATATTATAGAAATCTGTTGTATTTATTGAGGTATGGGATAGGTCACTAATGTTATAAGTATTCTCATATTGTAAAATTGTGTGACTTGTGACTCAAGTTTTATTGCACAATAAAGTGTCAGTAAGTGATAGAAAAGATCAAGACAGCAATAATTAACAGATGATTTTTGAAACAAAAAAACCTTCTCTCTAAAATAATTCTGCAATATTCCTAGGTAACTCATTGCTCACTATAATGGGAAGTTTTGGAGACGGTTTAATCTCTGGGGTTTTTTGCTGTAGACTGAGTTGAGTTGTCTTTGTTGTGGATCATGGAATGTTGTTGATTGTGGTTCCTTTTATAGCAGCCCTGTGTAAGAACTGGAAGAGTCTGACTTTTGCCTGAGAAAGTTCTTTGTTTTCCTTCTCTGTGCATTCTGTGTCTCTTTTGGTCTGAGTTTGCCTTCAGTTAGGGAGCACTGTAGTGGGCACAGCTGGGATCTGGCAGTTTGAAGTAGAGCAGAATAACCTTTCTGATTATTCTACTACAGATAAAATAGAGTGTGCTTTTTCTTTTCACTTAGTCATTGCCTCACACCTACCTTGAATTCCACTATAACCTCTTTGTCTTTTTCTACTGTACTGCTTGCCCAGTTGCTATTAAAAATGGAATTTAAAAAACTTACAAATTGAAGCTCTTTCCTGCACTCTCTTATTTAGTCATGCCACCTCCAGAGCATCTCTCCAATTTCCCAGTCACCTTGAATTATGATTCTGGCTTCTCAGAGCTTAAAAATTCAGTCTTGTTGCTGACTTAAAGAGGAAACTCTGTTCTGTTATCTTTGGTTCTGTCTGATACTTTCATCAGATGTCGTGCAGAGTCATACAGTATTCTATAAGGAATAACTTCTGTGTTTGATGGCAACTGTTTGCTGATCAATGGGGAGATATTGCAGTTATGTATGTTATGTTAGTTGTTTACACCACACATTCACTACCTTACCATTGGCAATGTCAGGTAGGGTAATTTTAGAAGATTTTTAGTGTATTTCATACCTACTGCATATCTAACAACTCAAAGACCTTACCAAAAAAGAAAACGAGATTGCTTTAGCATGCTGTGCTCTCATTAAGCAATATTTATCATCTATAATCTCTTCTAGATGATTGCAGTGTTTGTCATAAGGACTTACTCTAGTATTTCAGTATTTATTTTTTTAAGTTGGATTTCTGATTCTGCAGATTCTCATTTTCTTTTGGAAAAACACATGCCAAGAAGAAATTCTTTGGTATTTTCTCTGAGAATTATTTATTTGCAAAGATAATCAGTAACAGTACAGAAACTTCAGCAAGTAGTTCTTCTAGATACTCTTGGCTGAATATATAAGACATCACTTTCTGTGTATTTTGAAGCAAATCCAAGTAAAATATGTGGACAAATTGTTAGGATTTCACTAGTTGTCTTCCTGTATTGTATTAATATTGCCAATGTAAGTCAAGCAGAAGTTTCATTGATTTTCAGATTGTCCTTCATGGCAGAGTGTTGGAACAATGTAGAATTTAAGGTCCCTTCCAATCCAAACCATTCTATGATTTCATAGCATTTTCAGGTGCCTGGATTAACTATGGACTGTGATCTTAAATTCTGCTTTTTGAACGTTCCTTAATTTCATTCTCAAGCTCATAAAACTTCAAGTTCCACTGCTTCTTAGCAAGCCTTAGGTTCCTCTGTTATTTTGAGTGTGTATTAGAATTCATATCACATCGCAGTGGTAAAAATCAAAATTAATTCTGTTGGGAAAACAAAAGAAAATTTTGTAGTTAGTAGAAAGCTTGAGAAATTAGTTGAAGAAGCTAAATGGAGAGACTTCAGTATAAAATTAATTTATCACAGAAAATACCTTCAGCCAGTACCACAGTTGTTTATGCTTCTTGTTGTATCCCATTTTGCCTTTGTATATACAAATTTTGTATTGTATATACCCACATAGGTAGGTTCTTCCTATGCTTTCTATGTGGATTGTTCTGTTCCTTCTTTTGTTAACAATTTTCCTTCAGTGTATCATAACATACATAATTACTGTTGTTCTCTAGGCTGTTGATTGGTGGAGTGTTGGTGTTCTTATGTATGAATTATTAACTGGAGCATCACCATTTACAGTCGATGGAGAGAAGAATTCCCAAGCAGAGATTTCTAGGTAAGATTCAAAACAGTGAAGTATATGTGCTTGCTAACAGATGATTCTTATGCCATAATGTATGTTTTGTGAGAGTTTGTTAATTTAAAATTTAGGAAGAAAGTGCTGCCATGGTAACATTTTGTGTGCTCTAGTTCTGTTCACTGGAATGACATTGGAAAGTAGATAGCTTTTATTAGCTAGTAGAATTGACTTTACAAAAGGCCTGTTTTGTTTAAACTACAGTGGAGCCACAGCCTTGTAGATACTTAGGCCTGTTGCATATTTACTGTTGAAAAGGAACTCAAATGAAATACCAAAGTATATGTAAATAGAATTATCACATTCCAGATCTTAATACATTAGAGATATCTTTAGCTAGTGATACTTTATCAGCTCTTGCTAGGTTGTTCTGGCAGGCTGCACATTCAAAGTGTCAGAACGTACCCTACTCCCACCTTTTTCTTACAAATTATGTTAATTTTATTAGTGTGTAGCATGAAACAAAGATCTTTTCTGGCCCATTTGCCTATCTGAGGAGAAATGGATGTGATACTTACAGAAATGAAATAAACTATACCATTTTTATCTTTTGCATATAAACTTGTTGTTACATTCAGTAATCTCCACACTTTAAAGGTTTGTTTTCAGTACCTGTGTAAAAGCACTGGAGCATTTTTAAAAGACAAAGCAATAAGCTTCTCCAAAGCATGTTACTGAAATCTCCCCCAAAACAAAAATTTCCTTTTATTGGATTTCTTCCTATTGGAGCAGGAAGTTGAGGTCTTAAATTGCTCAAATTACTAACTGCTGTCAAAATGAGCTTGTAAGTCCAGTCCCCAAACTAAGAATAGTCTTGCTTCTCTTGGAAGGTATTGTCCTGGTTCTGACCCTCACCTGAAATCACTTGATATTTAAGGTTGTAATGGATGGTAGAATATACCTCAATTGTTTAGACAACTTATTTTACTTATGTTATAAATTCAGGCAATTTCTTGGGAGATTAAAGCCTGTTTATTGGTTTTTACTTCTCTACCACAGCAAACAGGAAACTTGGACAGTCAGTAGAAAAAATACAGGGGAGGGAGGAGTTCATTAATGAAAGAAAATTCAGGACTTCACCTGCTTGGTTATTATATTGCAGTTAAAACTTCAGTTATCTCTTTCTGCCCTATTTAAGGTTAGAAGTTTGCTTGACTGATTACTTATGCCATGGCTGAATTTGGTAATTTTGATTCCCAAGATTTACTAGCTGGGACTCTGAAGGGGTAACAACTTTTTTTTTTTTTTTTAGAGAGAGCCTTAAACTGAACTATACAGATATTGTTTCCCAAAAAATGGGAAACTTTTTAGTTGTGTATTCTACAGGACTTGACTTTCTATTGGTAGGCTCTTTGGTGCTTTTTAAGATAATAATATTTCTGATAATTTGAATGGCTACATGGTTGTTAACATCTGTGCTCTGACAGCTAATTACTTTCTTTAGTTGTGGCAAGTTTACTGTGTTGCTCTTCAGTCTGTGTTCTGGTGGATGTTTATGCTATGCATGTACAGACAGCCCTATGGTATTTCAGTTTTTATTTTGATAAATTTAGAAGCTAAATTCTTACAGTTTCCTATAGTGAAGATGTTCCCTAGTCTTCCTGTTTCCTGAAAAAGCCTTTTCTTAACTTAGCTTCTGTTGTTCTTTCTTACATATGGACAATTTATTCATGCTGATGCTTCAAGCAGATCTTGGTTAACGGAAGGGATAATTTACCATCTGAACAAAAAAATACTTCTTCCTTTTTCTTGGGTTCCTCTTGTTGATGCCAGTGCTGGTCTGATAGATCTAACTCCTTTTCTTCTTCTGTCACTTTCAACTGCTGACTCTCTGGTTTGTAGTTCTTCCTCCCAGCTATATAGCTGAAATCTTCTTACTCCTGGTTAGGTGATTGCATTTCAGACTAGATTTCATCTCTTTTGTGTTACTCCTATACTCATAAGACGCAGTGGTTTATAAATCCTTTCCACTGATAGCAATTTCTTTTTTGGATCATTTCAGTGTTATGTGTCTGCAGTTTATGTCATGAATGTTAGGATCCTTTTAAGAATATGTGAGAGCATTGCTGCTGCCCTGAGCTGTGTGGAACCTTCTGGGCTATGGTGGCTGCTGCATGCCTTGGGGAACAGGAGTGTGTTTGGAGCTTTGCCTGAGGGCAGCAAAGAGCAGGCAAACAGAAACCAAGTAGTAACAGCTGCCCCGATAATGAAATTACTGGCACAGAGATAGGGGTTGGTACAAACTTCTTTCTTGATAGCAAGGTTGTTCTAACCAGAAATTACATGGGTTAACCTAAATATGCTTAAACTTGCCAATTGCAGCAGACTTTGTGAGCAAGTAAAAAAATGAATTCCCTATCTGTTGAAAGCATGGTTTTATTTTTCTGAGTTTAAGGGGGGAAAAAAGTCGTCTTTTAAATGGATCCAGGTCCTTCTTTTATTTTACCTAGGTAGGAAGTAATCTTAGATATTTTTAGATAATTTTACTCCCTCATGTGGCACAATGGTTGTGTGGTGTTAAATTTGAGAATGAAACTTTGTTCTAAAATATCTCTCCAAGGGAGAGTTCTATTCTTGTGTTGGAAACAGTGTATAGTTTCTATTTTTTTTCTCTTTCTGATGAGAAATTGTGTTGTTCTTCTATAATAATCTTTTTGGCAACACTGTAGACTTCTTTCATGGAAAATGCAAGTTAAGTAAGTGCAAATGTTGCCTTTTATCACTCTCTGAAGGCTTCTCATTCACATGCTTTGTGTATGGGTTACTAAACTCAATTAAATAAAAAAAGTCACATAACTTCTCCAATATCTCTCCTTTTCTAGTGTGCCCTCTCCCCTTTCTTTTTCCTTGTTCCTGAATTTTCCTTTCATTTTTGAGAATTCTGAACTTTTACTGCTGCAGAGCCAGAGATAAGAGCCATCCTGCAAAAGCATAGGCAAGGGCTGGGACTGACCACACAGCCAGTGTTTTCACTTAGACTACGAGTAGTTTGTAGTGCTGAATTGAAAGACAGACAAATCCATTTTAGGGAGCTGACTTTTGAGGGTCCTGTCATGTAGAGGATATAAAATGAGCAGGAAAGTTTTGGAGTACTAGCTTTACTAGTTAGTACTGGTACTAACTGCAACTGTGCAGCAGTTTAAAAATAATCTTACCAGCTTTAGGATTATGAATAGATAGAAACATTTTTAAAATGCATAAATTCATCTATAAAATAATCTATAGGAGCATATGATGCCATATTAGCATACTAACGCCAGTAGCAGCCTGTGGTCTTTATTTGTCATAGTTGGTTAGACTTTATTTAAACTTCATGGAGGACAGCTGAAATCTGGCAATCTGTTGGATGGTGTGGAGATACTTCATCCATGATCCTGCAAGAAACCTTTTCTTCATAGAGCTGTTGGGAGGACACCTAACAGCTGTGTACTGGGATGTCCTTCTTTATTGATTTCCTTCTTAAATCAGTGACTCACTCTAGTGATTGCTGGATCTTTTAAAGGATGGAACAGCATTAAATCCAGCTTCTAATTTGCATGATTTCTTCTAGGTATTTGTCCTAGAGCTTTTAGGTGCCTATCTATAAGGTAAAGCATTTTTATGTTTAGATGCACGTCAGAGTGCATGAATGAGTTTGCCTATAGATTTATTCAACCATTCAGTAAAGCAGATGGTTTAAGGAAGTTTTAGGTATTGTAGCACAGTTTCTGACTTGTGTAGGGCCAGGGTTATGCATACATATCTGACTGCTCCAAGATGGAACAGAGGAACAAGAGAGTTCAGTTCAGAACAAGAGGTGACAGGGTCATTCTCAAGTACGAGGGTGAAAATTCTGCTTTAGAAGTCTTGTACATTTGCCCTTTAACAGGGTTACAGCTTGGGATTGCTTTCTCTTATTCCCTGTACATCCAGATGGATATGTATCTTTTTGATGGTGCTTATAACATAATGTCTCAATTTAGAGACAAGTTTAGGAGAAAACACTCTGGAACGAGTTGTTTCCCCTAAAAAGGGTTCCAACAATCCCTTTCCACCAATAGGAAATGTGTACTAGTGGATGAAAGTGAAAAAGCCTTTTCCAATGGTTATTTGACAGAATTCCCACAAGGCACAGGAAAAAGTAAATAAATGCTAAAGATAAAACTGTCAGACCTTACCCCTCTCCCCCCTGCAGTGAAACAAAAACCCAGAATGCCAGGGAAAGAAGGAAAAAACCAAAACACAAAAACCCACCAGCTTACCACATGGTAGGTAGAAGATAGTGGCTCCTCTCTCAGGGGAAAAAACCCAGAAAACTGAACAGGAGATTCAAACAGCAGTTTGGGCAAATAGATGAGAAGTCTTTGATGTTGGTCCCTTCTTCACAGCAGATGAAGCAGGTGGGGCTGGTGTGCTCTCTCTTACCAGCTCTGCTTTTTCTGTAGGGCCAAGATGGAGCGTCCCCTCTACTCCCGCTGGTCCTGACCAACTCCTGTCTTGCAGGTCCCTTTTTTTCTGGTCTCACAATTAAACAAACTGTCCAGTTAATGAAAGAAAAGTTGCTGAAGGATTGCTACTGCAGCTTCTCCAAGGCTGGAAAAAGGGGAAAAAAACTTCTTGGCTGGGCTAACAAAAAAATCAAGCTAGCCAAGCCAAAAACCACTCCCTCAGCAGCCTGGGCACCTGGGGAGTGAGGCTTTGAAAAAAATCTGCCAAGGAGCCCAAGGTTCAGCCCCCCACCCTGACCCCCACCTTAAACATACAATACCCATTTTTGGGCATAAAGCTGAGGGTCAGGGAATAGACTGTCATCATAAGACATGCAATTCTCAAGGTAGAATTAGATTGGGCATCCCCTTCTCTTCCTTAATATCCATTAGTGTCCTTTGCATTATCATATGTGTTCTTGGTCCGTAGTTTTTATGGGGAAAACTCATCAGAGGCCAAGTTCCTGAAAAACAATACCAGTGAGGTTGCTCCTAGTTCTGCATACTCTGCCATAGAGATGGGTGAGATGGAAATGATTCATGTAGAGTTAAACTTCTTGACATATGCAAGGGGTGGTTTCTCTGAGTGTTCAGTACAGCCAGAGTTCTCTCATCAGCAGGGTAATCTCAGCTTGCCCCAGCTCAGAGGGCTTATACCAGGCCAGGAAAAGCAATAAATACAGCAGAGTATTCCTTCAACTTTCCCAATTGCCACTTGGGATACTTAATTCTTCCTGCTTGTGTCTGTTACTGGATCACTGCCATAAACAATGTGGACAACCCCATAAACATGAAATGTACAAAAGGATGGTAGTGATTGAGAAAAGGAAAGGATTATTAATGCTAAAGGCCATGGCTTCTTTACAGAAGCACACACATTCCAAAAAGGATTTTGATACATGCAGCTTCCTTCCTCTGAACACTGTATGGGCTACTGTTAGAGCCTTGAGTAACCTTCAGTACAGCACTTCAGCAATGCTGAACTAGTGAAACCAGACTCTCTTCACTTGATCAAGCTGCTTCACAAATTTCTGCTCTCTCACATGTTGACCCAATCTGGTCTTTCTTTTCTGGCAGCTTGATTTCCATCCTAATAATTGCAGCTTCACATACTTCAATTCCATGATAATTTTATGTGGTTCCTGGAACTTCTAAAGAAGGTAGCTTTGGTCTTCACTACTTCTGAAATATGGTTCTGTGAACCAATCCAGAGCATCATCAGTGTTTTCCAGTATCAGTCAACCTCAAAAGTATTTTTGAATTAAAGCCACTGGCAATTTATGTGAATCTCCTTGTAATGGAACATGGCAAAATGCTGCCTTTTCTGCAGAGGGTTCTTGGCTGGTCAAGAGCTGGAAGATACTTCTCAATGTGAAACTTACTGTACATCTGTTGGAAATACAGTACAGCAGAGAGGAAACAGTTTAGGAGGTTCCTGGAGTGTGTGGAAGAGAATTTGCTCTAGAATTTGGTTACTAAGGACATCCCAGGGTTTCAATCTCATTGCTTTAGAAATCAATTTCAAAAAATACAGATTGGAGGGATTTTCCTCCCTTCTGAGAGCCTAAAGAGAACTTGTTGTTTTCCAGAATCTTTGTTACATAACTTTCGGATTTCTTTTTGATCAGAAAAGTTGATAAAGAAGCTTCTTCACACTTATGTAAATGCAGTGATTTTCAAACTGTGAAAACATTGGCCCTCCTGTAAGTAAAGTAATTTTTCTATCAAGGTGTCCTGTCTTCTGTCTTTACAACAGGAAGGTTTTCTTACTTCCTTACCTGCTTCCCCTTTCTGAAACTGAGTGATTTCAGAAAAGACTGAGTCTTTTCTTACGCTGCAGGAGTGGTGGAGAAGTATACTCTGTTTAGTGATGTTTAAATTTGGTATTAACATCCCTAATTAAAAAATCAGTTGATAATATTGTGCTTTCTTCTCCAGTTCTGTAACATGAAATGTGTCCAGAAATTGAAGAGAAGTTTTATGGTTGCTGTTACTTCTGCTGGCAGAAAGGCTGTGATTTAGACCCTTACTGGCAGATATATATCATTTAAAAAAAACAATCGACCTTTATACCACCTTAAATCTCAGACTGTGTTTTCCTAACTCCTTTCAGCAAGGAGATACTACTTAAACCAAGAGGTTAGCTTGCTTTGTCTTTTTGTTTGCTTGAAATTGGATACTATGTCTGTAGAAGCTACCCCTGGGATATGCACATTTTGAACTTGGTTTTGCTCTTCCACACTGCCAGAACAGGATTATTTAGGAAGCAATCTGTTTGCATCTATTTTTGGACTAATCCAAGAAGCTAGACATTTCAAGATAAAAATTTTCTCATGGGATAACTGACTCTAAGGATGTGTCATGCAGTAACTCTGAACAAAATTTAGGAATGTCCTGCAGCGATCAACTTAAGTTCTGGCAGAAACATACAATAGTTGAGATCTGACTATTGCCACAAATTCATGTCATTTCAGCCTCAGTCTCTCATGGCTTCAAAACCTTTCAGTTTGTGTTTAGTGGAGGCACTGTAAGCCCTACTATGAGGTCACCACAGTGAGAGTATGCATCAGACTATGTAGACGCCAAGCTGTACCTGAGCTAGCAATGTGGCCTTGTGGCAAGGCAGCAAATGGGATCCTGGGCTGCATTACACAAAGTGTCATCAGCTTAGGGATATGATCCTTCCTCTCTATCAGCGCTGCTGAGGCCGCATCTGGAGTCCTGGTTCCACTTCTGCTCTCTCCAGTGCCTGAGAGTGACATATTGGGCATATTGGAGAGAGTCCAGCAAAGGGCTGATGACAATGAGGAAAGGCTGAGAAGGCTGTCACTCTTCCACCTGGAGAAGGGAAGGCTTAGGGACACCTTGTCAATGTGCAGAAATGCCTGAAGAGAGTGTGCAAAGAAGAGGGAACCAGGCTCTTTCAGTGGTGTTTGCTGACAGGACCAGAGATAGGGCCCACAAACTGAAACACAGGAGGTTCCCTCTGAGCACTAGGAAGCACCTTTTTACTGCAAGTGTGACTGAATACTGACACAGGCTTCCCAAAAGAGGGGATGAAATCTCTCTCCTTAGGGATACTCAAAGGGTTTCTGGCCATGGTGGTGAACAGCTGGCTCTATGTAACTGTTTGAGCAGGGGGAGTTGGACCAGATGACCTCCAGAGATCATTCCCAACCTCAACTCTTCTGTGATTCTGTATGCTGAAAGGTTTTTTGTGTCTCTATTTTAAACATCTTCATGTGTCTTTGGATGGGTTACTTTCCTTTAGGGTCCTTTGCTTCAGTATTTGGATTTGGAGTAACTAAAGGAAAGCTTTCCTACCTGTTTGTATAGAACTGTGGGGGACTGCAGATATAAAAGATAGGAATTGAAATGTGATTCTACTTAGGCTTCCAAGGTTTTGACTTCCATTGGCACAACGTGATAGTTTCTAGTTCTTGTATTGAAAAAGTGGTGAGGTCTCTGTTTACTTTACCATTTTGAGGGAAGCACTGCCCAGCTCCCTTGAGTCATCTTTTCAGTAAGCTTTTTATAAAACTTTCTATAAAACACATTCTATCTCTGATTGGTCTTATTACTGTTCTCTAAAACTTTTCCAGTTATAGTGCCTTCATTTGAGAAAAGGGCATGAGCACTGCACATGACACAGAGGGTGAAGGCAATCCTTCAATGGCCCAAACACTTTTTTTTTTTTAATTTATTTTCTAATACATTTTAATGTTAGAATTTTTTTTTTACTACTATTAGTCATCGAGTTGATTTCTTTGTGGAGCTATCTGTTTCAACCATGTGATTTCTTTTGAATAGTAAACTCAGTATGTGAAATTAGGATTGTTCTCTTTTGTGTATTGAGTTGCATAATTTATCTCTTCAGATGTTCTGTTTCATGTCCACAATTCCTTAAACCTTTAAAAATTTGGTTTCATGTTTTTCATCCTCCTGCTTTTGGGTACAATAGAAGTTTAAGTGAAATGTTAATACTTCCATTAGTATGGTAACGCTTTAACTTCAACATTTTAAGTAACTTCCACATTGTTATTTTGTTTGTTTTAAAGGAGAATATTAAAAAGTGAGCCACCTTATCCACAAGAAATGAGTGCTCTGTCTAAGGATATAATTCAGCGTCTTTTAATGAAAGACCCCAAGAAGAGGCTTGGTTGTGGTCCCACTGATGCTGATGAAATCAAACAGCATCCCTTTTTCCAGGTAAAGCAAACAACCAAACTCACCAGATCCCACTTATTCTGAATTAGTGCCTGTGAAATCAAAGTCTAAGGAAATTGTGTTGTTCTGTTAACAGAACAACTTAAAGACCTATTAGTTGCATGATTAATTGTATTGAAGTTAATAAAAATATCCTTGTGTTTGTATGTATGGATTTTGTGTGTATTAGAAGGGCATGCTAGGTTTTTAATATATTCGTCTGTATCTATCAGTTACTTGAAGCTAAAGGAAGCACTGCTGAAATCAGAAGGCTTAATGTAAAACACTGAAATTGTGTTGTGTTGTCTGTTGGGTTTTTGTTTGAAAGGATTTTTTAAAAGATTGGCACTAGAATTATTAGTAAAAATTTTAATATTAATAAAATTCACCAAACTCCTCTATTTACCTTGGCCTAATTGAATCTTTAGTCTTGTTCAGTAAATTTTAATTTTGTTCAGATTTCAGTGTATTAACATTTGCTTTCAAACCATGATGAAGATTGGATTTGCATACAATATCTGTATTAAATGTGGTTAAAATTGGGTGATTTCTTTGAAAAAACAAATAATGTATTTATGGTGCTTCTGAAGCTAAGTAGAGTTAAACAGAGTTAAGCTTCCTTAATTTACTGTTTGTTTTGGGAGATGCATTTTGCCAGTCATGTAACACTTTCTATTCTTTACTTAATTTCAGTTCCACTCCTTTACAGTAACAGGGTGGTTTGCTCGTATCTGCTATTTCTATGCTTCCTCTTTCTAGTCATGCCTGCAAGTAAGAATTTGGAGGTTTATGCACTCAGGGCTCTGAAAGCTGACATCAGTAATAAAGCATAGAAATTGGCAATGCAAACTTGAAGATACTACATGCATGCGTTGTGGCTAATGAAAATATAAATATTGCTTATTCTGAAATAGAGGCAGAAATTCAGGGGCCATCACGCTAATTGTTTGGCACATCTCCACTGTTAAATTATGTTGAATTTCTTTTTGGATTCTGTCTGCATACTAAGAGCTTTGACTTTAACTAAACAAATTAGTAGAGCATAATTTGAATGTTTTTAATCAGCCTGTGGAAAATGGCAAAGGGAGTTAGACTGTGTTGTGACAAGACTTTCTTTCCAATATCGTTCTGTAAAATTTTCATTTAATTAAATTTATTTTCCTATTTTTTTGTTTAGAATATGAATTGGGAGGACTTAGCTGCCAAAAAAATACCAGCTCCATTTAAACCAGTAATCAGAGATGAATTGGATGTCAGTAATTTTGCAGAAGAGTTTACAGAAATGGATCCAACATACTCTCCTGCAGCAACCCCTCAGACTTCTGAAAGAATATTTCAGGTACTTTCAAAACTCAGGTTTTTAAAGAAAATTATTTAAAATTATTTTTGAACAATTCCTAATGTATAAATAGCTTTTTTTTCACCTCCTGCCTATTAAGTTTTTGGAATTAATTGTGTGCCTTCTAATCCCAGTTCTCAGGGCTTTTTGCTCAATAATTGCAAAATGAGAAAGGTGGAAACAGTCCTACTGCAAATATGAAATTCCTTGTTTCTCCATTCCCAGCTGAATGTCCTGCTTGTTGGACTAAAGTCAGTCTGTTCTTTTCTGATTTTCCATACATTGAGTCTTGTCATCTTGACTCCATCAGCCTGAGCTGCCAGCTTTGACCAGACCAATTTAGTTCACCCATTTCCACATTATGTGCTAGTCGAAGTAATCTTTTGGAAAGTCGGAGCTGACATTCCACGTTTTGTAGGAGCGCTGTAGTTACTCAGCTGGTGTTTCCAGATGAGTACAAAGCTTTCCTTACTGTTCCTTCTGTGCTATTAAAGAGTGATCCCTTCTTGACTACACAGTCTGAGTGTCAAATGGGCAGAAACAGCTCATGTGCAACCAACTTGGTACCAAAACTGCAGAGGTGAACAGCAGTTTGGATTGCCTTCTCTTTCCCCTTGTTGCACTTTGTTGGTTTTTGTCTGTTTTTGAGCAGCTTAATCCTCAGGGTAGAGGAATGTAGTGTCATATTTTGGATCTTGTTAGATTCACAGTGACTGTAGCAAGCGGGTTATTTGTGTCTTAATAACATCTGATTCACCCTGCAGTGGTAGTCACAGCTGTTATTATGATACTCAAACTGGGCACATCATTGCCCACACACATTGATATAAATTTTATCCATTTAAAATTGTTCGATGCTTACATCACAATACAAACTATTTCATGCCTCTTCATGCCTTAACTTTAAGGTGTCATTGGAGGCTGGCTAGTTTGAAGTCCAAGCCTTTATCACTATTGTAAAGCAATTGTAGCTGAGCCAGATTAACATTAATTAGAATTCTTGTAGTATTATTGTTCTGTCTCTAACTGTGGAGGATCATATAACTAATTCCAGGAAGATGCCTATTCATATTGAACAGAGTAACCTATTCATATTGAACAGAGTAAGTCACAATTTCTCTATTATGATACAAAAATTCTGATTTATTGAAAAAGTCTTCTGAATCTTCTGTTGTTTCATTTGAGTTATGGTAGTTTATGTGCAACAGTATCAAGCTGTATCCTTCTCTGATGTTTTAATTTCATAGGGATATTCTTTCGTTGCACCATCTATTTTGTTTAAACGCAATGCAGCTACAGTAGATCCCTTCCAGTTTTATGTGGGGGATGAGAGACCTGGAATGACAACTATTGCCAGAAGTGCTATGTTGAAGGTAATTATAATATCAAGACTTAAATTAATTTGGTTAAATTAAAACTGTGTGTAACTTCCCAAGCAGCAATCATAAGCTAGGCTATGGATTCCAAAATATCATTCATTTATTAACTCTCTGTAATGGTTCCTCAGATGATTGAAGCATCTGATGATCCATCACATCTTGCATGTGATACTATTAAGAAATGGTTGAAATTTAATCTGAAAAATGAGATGATTGTCTAGTTTTCCAGAAGTATAGAAGTAATAATAATAATATTAATAATAATAATGACTCCTGATAGTTCTTATTCAGCTAAACACTGTAGATATTTCTGAAGCTACTTTATTATATAATAATTCCATCTATGTTATATTTACCCAAAAGAGCATATAGTTGTGTGAAGCTTTATAAGAGCACATGCTATTGTGATGTCCTCAAATGAGCACATGGTTTTGTGGATAAATGTATATATGACCACCTTTGATCCTGTTTGTCTGAATATTTTGTATCTTCAATTGTTATAGTAGTAATGATTTATTTAGTGATTGTTTGTTTAATGTAACGTAAGCTTTACTCTTTGATTGTTAGAATAATGTTTATGCATTTTATTCAGTAAAATTTGATTATATTTTAATAAAAAGACAGCTCTTTTGCAGTTTTAAATATAGATGAAAAATTCTCATGAAATTTTACTTTGTCTTTGACTGTGTATACTAAAAGTATTCTGCAAAACTAAATACAGACAGTTTCCTAACAGGACTCTCCATTTTATCATCATTATGAACTGGATCTGAAAGAGAAACCATTGGGAGAAGGAAGTTTTTCCATTTGTCGAAAATGCTTACACAAGAAAACTAGCCAAGAGTATGCAGTAAAAATAATTAGCAAAAGGTATAAATATTCTATAAGACAATAAAAATATTTTCTTTGCTTACTGTCGCCCATGGAGTACAATAATGTTCACTACATTTTTGGAAGTGGAAAAGTAGCTTTAAAATTATTTCCTGTTCTATGAATCTACAGAAACTTATTGTAACCTTTTGACCTGTAAAAGATTCTGAGAGTCTTTTGAAATAAAATGTTTTTCTAGTTGGGACACAAGAAGAAACCTAGAGAGTACTTTTGTGGTTCCTAGTTGTATTCTAGCATTATTTCCCCTAATTTTGCTCCTAACGAATAAAGGTATGAGGCTCTTTTATCTTGACACTTAGGTGAACTGAATGTAGGCCTAAGCTAGCTCCCTCTCTTTAGCAGCCCAACTGATTGCCTAGGATACTGCTTTTAGGAATAGTCTGCAGTGTGGGTTGCCTCAGATCTAAGTGTGTGTATGTGTATAAAATGGAATTAGACTATGGAATTGCAAGTTGTATCTTGTTTCCTGGATGTTCTGAAGAGAACACCACAATGGAAGCAGCTGACTTGCTTTGTACACGGGTACCATCTGGTTCTGTTCCAGAATGGATTTCTCTATGAGTTTCTGCTCAGAGAAGAATAAAGATAAGGGATTTTTTGAGTAGCAGATGGATTTTTGCCTTCATTTTGCAGAGTTCATTAGTAAGTGCATTCCCTAGTGTGTTGCAGAATGCTGATAGGAGGGTAGAAATGTTCTGCTGTCAGAGTGATAGTTCAGTGATCTCTTGCCCAAGACATTTGGCTGTACCTCTGTTTTTCCAGACTCTAGAAGAAGCTGTCTGCCAGACCAAAGTGTCTGTCATTTCATCATATGCTTTTTGAATAGGACAAGTTCAAGAACAAGAAGCTGAAGTGTAGGTGTCTGAGTTAGTTTTCTGGAGTCTGCTGAATTAATGGAAGCCTGCTTAAAACTGTCTTGCACTAGAAGTGGGATTCAGTAACTTAAACATAGACATCTACATAGGGCCATTTTAGCATCTGTTGGTGTCTTCTCTGTCCTCTGGTTCCCATCAGTCTTGTGACTGCTACCTTTTTGTAGATGTCTTCATGGCTGATGTCATCTTCCAGGCTCTTCTTCCTATGCTTAGGCCACTGAATCCTACTCTAGGTATGTATGTTACAGTGAACTAGTTCACCCTATAAGATGCATTCATGGGAATTTCACTCATTATAATGAGACCCTAAGTGGTGTGTGGTAGACACCTACATTGGGTATTTTAGTGTGGAGATCTCTTCCATGTGTCTACACTCAGAAGTTTTTTTCTGTGGTACTAGCAGAACTGTAGGTTAGTGCTCCCATCTAATTTTGACATAATGTGCATTTTGTTTCTGGATAACTGAGCAGACCAGAATTGACTTTTCCCCTGAGACTTAAGTTCTAGAAATTATGTCCCTGAATTATATTACTCATGAGGGGTTTTTTTTCTCTTTCTCCTTCATCTTGGTGGCTCAGGCTAAATGAAGCTAAAATCTCAGTATACAGAGATTTATGAAATTTTTTTTAGGATTGCAGGGTGTGAGCAGACTCAGCATGTTTGTACAGTATTTAGAGTTAGCAGTAAACCCACACTCTGAACAGTTGGCCAAAACCCAACTCGAATTAGAATCTTTAAGTAATATTGCTCTGAGGATCATGCCACTAAATCTTACTAAAAGGAAAAGTATAATAAATTTATAGGAACTTCTTTGCCTTAAAGTCAGTCTTTCACTCCTACCGGGCAAATGTGCCCAAAAAGGGAAAGGGAATCTTACATCTAGGGAAACCTTTTCATGATACTTGAGGTGAAAGCTCAGGTGCACAGTTCCTCTGCCTTTTTAATAGTGCTGGACCTATTAATAGCTCCCAGCCAACGTTTTTAGGTTTCTCTGTATGTCTGACCACTGAAACAAAGTAAACTTGCTTGAGTCACTGTTTCAGAGCTTCCCATTTGTTTCTCTCAAGGTTGTTTACAATCTGAGATGGTAACTATTTACAGAGGGGAAATATTCAGAAAAGTCCGCATACAAATTTCAAAGATTTGTGCTCATGATGCTGAATCTTTTTCATCTGTTTCCCAGATCTGCTTCCTTCTTATAGTAGTTTAGGGGGAAAGACTGTGAGTAAGGTTTTTTAATTCCTTAAAGGACTAGAAGTCACTTTCAGTTAAAAAATTTCAGAAGCAGAGATGCAGGTGGAACAGCTTAGTTTACTGGTTGATTATATGAAGCCTAGAGAAATACAGAATTCTCTTGCACAGAATTCTCACTGTAGTTCTCCTTCTAATTAGGAAAAAAAAGCAACCAGAAATAAAGAAAATATGTGGTGAAAGATTCTCTCTGTATCTGTTGCCTGTAAAGCCATTCTCTAGATCATTACAGGATTTGCCTTTCTCAGAGAGAGTTTTGGCAGAAATTTTCAGGTATTATTTGCCAAAAGTAAATCAGTATATTTAACTAGCAGAAAAAAACGTTCTGCTCTGTCACCATTTATGTAGTTTTTATAACACTCACCATTTTCACTTTTTATGGCTATAGATTTCAGTTCTTGAAAGGGAATTTATGCAATGAGTTTTCTCTGGAAATAGTCTCTTATCTTTTCCATTTCAGATTTTTACAATGCTCTGTTTAGGGGTTTTTTTGAATAACACATTTCATATATAGATGATGTTACTCTTTTTCTAGTAAAGTTCATAGTTTCTATATCATTCTGGAAGTATTTGTCCCCATTAAGAATGGAAAAAAGATTGGGCCAAGATAAAGGTGAACTAACAAATATTGGTAGTAAAAGAGGTGAAGTCAAATTGCTCTGGACTAAGGGCATGGTTTGTTTTAGATTGAAACTATTCTGTATCACATCAGCTTTTGCTGTAGGAAGTTGCAGTTGCATAAAAAACATTGTTTGAATTGGGTGTGGGTTTTTTAATGGACTAAATTGCAGGGTTATGAGGAGAGGTTTTTCTCCACTTAATTTTAATATGCACTTAATTGTGTTCAAGTGGTTGTAATAGTAAAAAAATACGGATTGCAAACAGTTAAAAAATAACACTTGGAATGTGCAATTTGCTCAGTAAAATTGGTACAAGATGACTGCTCAATTTTTCCAGAATGGAAGCCAACACCCAGAGAGAAATAACAGCTCTGAGGCTCTGCGAGGGACATCCGAATGTAGTGAAGTTACATGAGGTTTTTCATGACCAGGTATTTTGAAGAATCAACACCTACCAAATGTACTGCCATATGTTTTCCAAGAGCTTTTTGGACTTAAGCATTCTGTAACTGTTGAGACAACTTTTTTCCTAGGGCTTTTGTCTAGTCAGTATAGAAAATGAAGCAGAAATTGTGCATTCTAACAATCTTGCAGTTACTCTAGCAAATCAAAACAGTATGTGAAAAAATTAGAGGCTTGAATTCTGTTCATTGTTCTGTTTTGTTTTTGTTTGCCATCATACAATGTGTTCATGGCCCAATTTCTGTATCTATGATACTGAAATGTGTTATCACCTTCCCCCAGAATCATTATAAATCTTACAACAGTATTTGTGAATTAATTTAGAAATGTTGTATATGAAGATTATATATCTAGTATCTTTTCCTACACATTAGTAACTTAATGGAGATAACCAAATAACTTGCCAGATTACCAAACGCTAAAGTAGAGCTTCTATTTGAAAATCCATTAGGATCAGTTTACTTAGATACCTTAACTGTCTTTTTCCTTTAATGGAATACAGACTCTACAGCATGGAATAAACAATAATTTGATTTGAATTGGAAGCTGGCCCTGATTTGAGCTAGGGTTTTGGACCAGATGTCCTGTACAACTCCCTTCCAGCCTAGACTACTCTGTTGTTCTGTGTTGGTCTATAGATTTTGTAGTGGAACAAGTGGTCTCTTGCCTCTCCACATATCCCACTCTGTCTCCCTCCTGCTATTTGTACTGGGACCAGCAGAGAGCTCATGTAGAGCACCTCAGAATTTACTGAGAGGATACAGTGTCTGTACTGTAATTTTTAATGACCCTTTTTTTACATATATGCAGAGTATGAGTGTACCTGTGTAGAACAGGACATTTCTTTCAGTTTCCTTTGAGTAAAATGAATATGCTAAATCTAAAAAAATGGTTCTCCAGACTGCTGTGCCACTGAATAGGCAGCTCTCAACCAAGCAACCCGCTGTATTTTTAGCTACTTCTGGTAGCTCTCAGACTGTACCTTTCAGATTACTTATGCACAATATTCTGAAGACCAAAACTGGAAGGAATTTTCTAGTTTTGACCTTTCTGCAGTTTGTCTTAATAAAAAGAAGTTTCAGTTTTTAACTTGCTCTGATATCAGTCTGTTCAAATTCCGTATTAGTATTCCAACCATATAACATTGGGTTGCAGTCTGTTGGTGAGCCAGAAGTTTTCTGTGAGTTTTTCTGAAGTTTTTCTAGTGAAAAAAGTCTTTTTATCCTTTTTAACTTCCCTGTCAGATATTCCCAAGGCATAAAGAAAATTTGCAGGAGAGGAGATCATTCAAGCACTACTGTATACCTTGGTTGTTCTAAGAAGTGTTACTTTTTCCTGTCCACATAGCTCTGCTTCTGTTCTTTGGTATATATAGTGTGCACCTTCTTGACTATTGCTTTGAATTCCATTTTTTGGCCACTTCCCAGAACTTTTTTGCTGTGCTTGCAAATACTACTTTTGTTACTGTCATTCAGGGGAGGGAAGGGCTAGAAGCCATGCATGCCCACATCCATTGCCTTTTGAGAATGCTGACTTTACTTCCTTGTTCTGAGAAGTCTGCTGTTTGTTTAATGGCAAGATATTTGAATTGCAGTGGAGTGTGTGCCAGGGTTGTCTAAGCCCCTGCTTATTTATTGCCTTCTAAAAACTCATTGCTTTTTTAATTTAAAAAATGCTCTTTAAATTTTGGGAAGATATCTATTGTAATTCTAATGATGGGGTACTTTTGGCTACTACTCTGTAGGGGATAAAATCACAAGTTCTAGATAATTTTTTATTTCCGAGGTTAAATTTCAGGGTGCTTTTAAAGGATTTTGTAACGTTTATGTCCTTAGGCATTTTAATAGATACATATCTTTATATCAGAACAGGCTTAAGCAGCAAAAGTTTCGCTTTTTCCAGCTTTATTGTTAAACTAAGTAAAGCTTTTTCATCTCCCTACAGACGTGTACATTTAGCTGATGGCATTGCATTTTTGTTAATAAATATGGGTGCACATGGGAACACATTATTCTTCAGTCTCAACAAGACTGATGGGAAAAATGCCATCTGAGATTCGGTGCTTTTTTTTTTTGTCTTCCAAATTACTACAAGCAGCAGTGCTATTTCTTCAAACATTGAGAACCTGTCAGAATGGCACCTAACTCCTGAGTGAATGTTGGTTTGGAATGTTAAATTTCTAACATGCTGTATTTTTACTGTTTCAGCTTCACACATTCCTGGTAATGGAATTGCTGAAGGGAGGAGAATTGCTTGAACGTATTCAGAAGAAGAAACATTTTAGTGAGACGGAAGCCAGTCACATTATGCGCAGACTTGTTTCAGCAGTGAGCCATATGCATGATGTGGGAGTAGTCCACAGAGATCTGAAACCTGAGGTATAGTGACTTGTGTGTGTGTGTATATATATGTGTGTATATATATATGTTTAGACAATAAGTTATTAAATGTCTGGAATGTGATGTATCTCTGTTTCTCCAGCCTTTGTTACAGAGTTTTCTACTTCTGTATTTTTAATTAAATGTTACCACTTTTACTTAACAAATTCTGTAGATATTTTTCTCTTCATAGGTAAAAGTAACTGTAAGCAATCTCTACTCTTAACTTGTTCAAAAACATTCTTTGCCTATATGGGGACATTTTTCCCTAGCATGTATTTATTGTGTGAAACAGTTCATAAGCAGAGCTAGGTTGCTTGGGTATTTTGCCTGTACATTTCCATCTTTTGTTTGATCATAATTTTCTTAGTAGGGCTTCTTTTCCTTGAAAAGAAGAGAGATTGTGATGTCAGTTCAGTGAGTTCAGTAGTTTCCCAAAAGAAACAATTTATTAATATCTGTTTTTCAGTAACTGTTTTCTGATATTTTTGTTGTGCAGCAGCATCATGGCTTCTAGACTATTCACTTTACTATTATAAGATTGACCACTGACTTTGTTCTGCTTCCTGGAGTCAGTGTTTTCTTGGGTGCTTTTGCCGGCAATGGGTTGGGATGTATGTTTTCTCAGCCTGAAAATAGTGTAGATTAATGTTGGTTCATCCAGTAAGGATGTTTATTGTAGGGTGATGACAGCCATCATACCCCAGGAAATAGCTGTTCCTTTTGTAGCTGGAGTTAAAAAATAATCCACCATTCCTACTGATGTTTTGTCTTACTGTAACATACTTTCTGTGATATGAAAGATTTGGTATTTTATAATAATTCCAATTCAACTGGTAAAGAAGTCTTCTAGGTGTTGCTAGTTGTTTATGAAAGCCAATCCAAAGTGTATGAGTTTGAAAGAAGTTTGGGCTCCTGTTGTAAGTAAACAGTTAAAGAGGGACTATTTTGAAATTCTAATGTGTGAGTTGGAAAAATCATCAGAGAAACTTTTTCCAAGAGTCACATCACCAGGGTAAGAAAACCATTTTTGAAACAAGTAGTAATTAAAAGGATGAAACCAACCCCACTTTCTCTCTTCTATTCTTATCATCTTAGTCTTACTTCCACTTTGAATGTAAGGCACCATGAAGCAAAGCTTCAGCTGTAAGGTAAATTAGGCAGTCTTCAATTCTACATTATGTTCAAGAACAGAAGTCTGGGAAGTCAAGTAATGAAGGGTTAGCAAACAGCTTGCAGAATCCATTGCCTCCACAAAGTTGGACTTAAGCTGCTTGTCTCCTTCCTGCCTGTGTTGAAAGTTACTATTTTAGGTTCTGACATGAACTTAGTATGGGATATGCAAGTTTCCCAGTATAGATATGGTTAGTGCATTTCTCTGTAAAAAGATATATAGGAAGTTCTTCTTGCTTTTCTTAAAAGTCCAGTCAGACTTTTTTGCTGCTCAGCTTTGCAATCTAATGTGCTAGTGATAATTATTTTTTTTAAAGTATGGCTGGTTAAATGTAACTGAGATTTTGAATTTCATGGACTGGAAGACTTCTGTTTATCAGTACTAATTAGATCACATATGTTGGTCTACAAAACAGAGGAAAAGTACTGGGTAGAAAATAGAGAATTCATAGGAGTAAAGAGTTTGTGTAGCACATGTGACCATATTTGGAGCTTCTCAGTAGAGGATTTGAGGACTGTTTCTGTGATCATTGATCTGTGAACTGAGTTCTGAAGGTATTACAAGAAAACATAAAAAGTGTGTGAGAATGTTGTTTATATATCCTAAAATAAATGTGAAATATAGCTGTAAATATTTGGGGGATGGGAGAGTTCTGAAACACACTTTATTTGCCTCATTAACAGAAATACCTGAACCCAGTGTAGGATACTTGGACTGTACCATTCTTTCCATGCATAACCAATTTAATTTTTATCATAGGAAAGGTCTTTTTAAACCAATGTTATTAATTCCTTATTTACTTGTAGACTATATAACATCACTATAGAAAAAAGGCTATTGTATTAATCACTTATCCTTGTATGAATATTTTTGCTGAAATAAGGCTCTCTGTAGATCCATTTACACAACAATTAAAAACTGACTTCTCTGAATGTGCATTGAACTATATCAGCAGTACAGAAAGCAAAAATACTAAAATACTGTTTTGTAGCAGCTATTTTCTTTTGTCCATAATGAATGGTCTCAGGTTCTCCTTATTGATCTGCTGGCAGTCTAGCACAATCATTTTTACCCTTGTTAATGAGTTTGAAATTAATTACTTTGTGTGTCTCATTCACCTTTTGTATTACAAGGTTAGATAAGACTATAGGATTTCTAATACTGCGATTTTTTCTAGCATTCATAAATTGAGCAATAAGACAGTAGCAAAATGATGCTCTTCTCTCAGAAGATGAAGGGAAGAGTAGAATTAGCTTATGATTCATCTTGGCCTCAGTTTTTCTGTGACTTAGCTTCCCTCTTGTATCTTTCTTGGCAAATACAAATACTCAGGGCAGAAAAAAGAAGCAGATTGCCTTATATTTTCCAAACTGATAACAGCTTGTCTGTCCTCAAGTCCAAAGTGCCACATTCCAGTGTGCAAAGCTGGAATTCTCAGGGACTACTGTACTAATGTCTCTGCCTTGGTGTGAGGAGTAAGTTTGTGGTGGGACTGGTACCTTCAGTGCTTGAATGCTGTCGGTCCCAGGTTTCTGTCAGAACACATATCCATCCATACTGGCTTTGCCACCCGTGCCAGACAGCTCTCAGTGAAACCTCTGAGCTGTTGGTGCACTTGTTAGCACCTTTTCATACCAAGGTGCACCTTTTTATCACCATCCTCCTCTTTCAAATGACTCTTGTGCATTGTTGTCCTCATGGCAATGCTGTGGTACCACTTGAGTACCAAAAACTGTTCGGTCACAAGACAGAAGGAGCAGTGGGAATCCCCTACACAAGAAAGCTGTTGTTCACAACATGCCAAAAGGAAGTGGAAGCTTAAGAAAATTTGCTTTTGTCTGAGGAAGGAGGCAGTTCTCCCATCTCCAAACATGTTGATGTCTTGGGGTTTTTTTCTTGTCAAAGTTCCCAGAATTCTCTTCTCTGCTGTTCTGTGCCACGTATCCATTTTCATTAGTAATCTCAGAACTGCCCTGACTTGCAGATATGCAGGGGCAGGTAAGCATGTCACATTTCTTACAATCCAGAATATTGTTATTTCTGTTTTTCTCTTCCCTCAGTGTCTCGCAGTTCACCTTTCCTCTAGATAATGGAAAATTTTCTGAAGTGATAGGTGAAGCAAAATAATTTTAATCAGTTTTGTACCCGGTGCTAATATTGATTTTTGTCTTTGCTTTTCAGAATTTACTATTTACAGATGAAACTGATAATTCAGAAATAAAAATAATTGATTTTGGCTTTGCTCGTTTAAAACCACCTGATAATCAGCCTCTTAAGACTCCGTGTTTTACCCTTCATTATGCTGCCCCTGAGCTCTTGAATCACAATGGTTATGATGAGTCTTGTGATCTGTGGAGTTTGGGGGTCATTTTGGTGAGTGATTGAGGTTTTTAACTATAATTTTATTGCATGTATTTCTTTTTTGTTAAAATGCAAGGGACTTGAGATGATTTCATACATAAATTGGTACATGCTGAATTCAAGGGAGGTGAAAGTACTACTGCACAAATAATATGTTCCAAAGACAGATCTTTTCCAGGAGCAGAATTTTTTTTAGCAAATAGGAAATAAAATTTAGCATTTTTGGGAATGGAAAAACTACTTGATACAGTCAGCTTCTCAAAAAGATATATGCTTCTTAGGGGATTTTACAGGCATCCATATAATCTTCTGACACTTTCAATTCAAAGAAGGAATCAACCTGTATTCTGATCTACAGAAAATTAGTTTCATTTGATATAAATGGGGTAGAAATATATTTTGTTCATGGCTTCCTGGAATAGATGAATGTTTTTTCTAACAAGGACTCCAGAGAAAGTCTTTTATATTTAAATATTTAAATATTCGATAGCCCCAAAGTTATGTTTAGGCCAAGTTTTATTGTGTAGCATTGGTGATGCAAACAACAGCCCTTCATATTTAACAGCAGAGTTGCCTATAAATACCCTGTGTTTCCTAAGGCTGCTTTTGTTCTTGTGGCAGTACACGATGCTGTCAGGGCAGGTACCATTTCAGTCTCAAGACAGAAGTTTAACATGTACCAGTGCATTGGAAATTATGAAGAAAATAAAAAAAGGAGAATTTTCCTTTGAAGGAGAGGCTTGGAAAAATGTTTCTGAAGAGGCTAAAGAGCTAATTCGAGGTATGTATTTAAAGTATTTAAGGTACATTATGTTTTTATTTAAAAAGTAGGATTTGGAGAACCAAATTCTACAATATCTGGATGCTCTAAAGTGTCTCACCTGACAGAGCAATATGCACAGCTTGAGCTGTGTACTGACCTCTGATAAAAGCATTGAGTGGCCATGGACATATCAGAATGGATTACAAATTGCTTGTACACCTAGCAGAGTTTTCTAATGTGGTAAGATGCTGATGAAGTTAGTGGGATTACAAGGAACTGAAGAGCTTCAGAAAAAGTGAACTCACTCTTATAACATGTTTAAAAGCAGAGTTTTTTATTATGTTGTTTTTGCTTTTCTAAAAAACCAAAACAGCTTATGAGATAGATAAAAGTCTTAAAAGCTGAGCTTTTGTAGAGAATGAATTTATTACTATTTCTTTTCTGTTGGCTATTTTTTAATTCCTGTACAAAGACTACTTACTGTATTTCTGAGCTACTTCATTAACCATTGCTGTGCTTTGGTTCCCTTAAGCTTTAGAGCATCTAATTATGTTTTCATCATGAGCTAGACACCTACTTAATGCTACTTAGATGGAGTTCTGAATTTCTGTAGAAGCTGATTTGTAAGGAATTTTTCTGCCAAAAATGTAGGGATTTCCAGATTCAGTCTTGAGTAAATTATGCAGGGAACCTGAGGCTTACTCTTTTGAACTTTATCCTAGACCGGTTATAAGTGAAGAAATAATTTGGTAGTTCTGAGTTTCTGTGAAGAGATATGTGAGTTATCAAACAGTTAAATACAATTTTTTGCCTTTAAGATTTTTCTGGAGAGGATGATAGTATAACATTGTGTAAGCCTTATCTAGGATAAATATTGGCATATCTAGGATAAATATTGACATTAGTTACTTATCAGAGCAATGCATGACATTTTATTAAGAAATATTTGCATTTTCTATTGACCAAAGATAAATAGCTGACAGTTTCAAAGAATGTAATGTGTTTCTATTAGGACTTCTCACAGTGGATCCAAACAAAAGGATTAAAATGTCCAGCCTGAGATACAATGAGTGGCTTCAGGATGGCAGCCAGCTCTCATCCAACCCTCTAATGACACCTGATAACTTGGGCTCTTCAGGAGCTGCAGTGCACACATATGTCAAAGCCACTTTCCATGTGAGTTCTGAGAAATTGTTTGTCATGTGCTATGTTTTGTAATGTGTCATCTGGATTTGTGTGTTTTCTCTTAACAACTATACATATCTCTCCTTATAATTCAGTTATCCTTATAGCTTGATTTTTGTTTTCCTCAATAACATTTCCTCATAACATCTCTGATGGAGTACACAAAAATAGGAATGATGAAGCAAGCATAAATTTCTTGGAGGCATTTATTTTTATGAGGATTTGGACATGGAGTGCTGTTCTGGAAACAGCAATTAAAAGTATTCTATGTCCTAGAGAAATCTATTAAAAGGTCTTCAAACTTTTATTTAAATAAAACCAAAATTTTATATTTAACCTAAGTAACGGTTTGACATTTGCCCTTAGGGTTACTAAAGTGAGGTAGAATTTCTGGAATTTATGTAGTTCATGTTTTTTGTATTATGGGTGCATGTTTAGTGGACTTGCTTGTCTGCTATTGTATATTTAATAAAATCATTTGAACTGCAACTGTATTTTACAAACATGATATTGATTCTCATGATACCCTCTACAGAGAATAAATCAAAATTGAGCAGATCTATGCTGAAATGCTTGTGGGTGCTTTTTAGGAAGGAGAGAAGAACAAAGTAATTGTTTCTTAGAGAGATCCTGACAAGCAACATGATTTGGGCTGAAAGAAAAATTGTAATTTAGCAGTCCTCTCTGAAAATGTAGTGTTAAATAGGTTATGGCTAAGTAAAAAATACTTCTAAACTAAAAAGAACAAGGAGAGGAAGATGCCAATCAATAAGGTTATGTTTTGGCTCTTATGTACCTGTAAAGGCTGGTAAAGTCATTGTTACAGCTACAATAGGAATTAGTCAGAAAATTACATTTTATCTTGTGATGTACCATGGACCATTCACAGTAAGTGATAAAATGTGTTAAATATCTTGAAAAACTTAGAATTGCCTTTTATTTTGAAACAGGCCTTTAACAAGTACAAAAGGGAAGGATTTTGTCTCCAGAATGTGGACAAGGCACCTCTTGCAAAAAGAAGGAAAATGAAAAAAACAAGTACAAGCACAGAGACACGTAGCAGCTCCAGTGAAAGTTCCCATTCTTCTTCCTCTCATTCTCATGGTAAAACTACCCCCACAAAGACATTGCAGCCCACAAACCCTACAGACAGCAATAACCCAGAAACCATCTTCCAGTTCTCCGACTGAGCAGCAGAATGTCCCGTCTCAAGGAGCTAAATGGTTACAGACTTGGCAGTACCTGTATTGTCTTCTCCTGCCCTTCCTCCTGTGGCTTACAGGCTGCCACAGGAAGACTTCTGTTGCTTTAGAAATGTATTTTAGTCATACCTTTTTAGCTCTGTATTTCCATACATTTCCTTCTAGCGTTGTATGGTATCACTGGATATAGTGTAATACTGTTATACAGCCAACATTGCATTCTCTGAGGGCTACCTTACTGGTGTGCAGCCAAGCTCCAGGTAAGTGGCTGTGCTGCTCATGGTACTGCTTGGAAGAAGACTGTTCCTCAGTGTCACAATCTTCCTCCCAGTTCCTTCCCTACTGCTCAAAGAACGGAAAGCTCTGTAACATCTGTACAACTTCGGGATCTTCTGCTCCTACCCAGCTCTGTGAAGAATATTGTAGAATTTGATTCTTCATGCATGTAAACAATCATTGGTACAATGCACCAAAGCAGTATAGTACTCTAAAGCCTTTTAAATTTATGGTTATGATCTGTCCCATTTATTTGAATTTTAAGATCAAAATGAAGCACTATGGAACTCCTACTTTGTTTAAAAATATCTTGTTCTAAACAACTGAGAATAGAAGTCTTAGATTTTTTTTTTAAATTTATTTATTTTTTTAAACACTTCTAGGGTAAAAGATATCTGATAAGGTGATATGTCTATTACTGTGATACAAGAACTTTTATTTTTTGAAGTTATTAGCTTCTAAAAGATTTTAAAGATTCTAAAATGTAATGCTATAAGAGAAAATTAAATTTCATATTTGATTCTTTGGAAAATGGCCACATGTTAAAATACCTATTTCAAGATTTAATTATAATTTATATTTTCTTTTTATAATTACACAATAATTTAAAAATACTGAGATTTTTTTAAAGATGAGAAAACTCCAGTTTCAGCATTTGTTATTATAGGGTCCATAAAAATGCATACCGAGTTATTTGAATTTTGCATTTTGCAAATATGGCAGTCTAACAGTGACTGTAAAATATTAGAATATGTATGTTTTATTTTTTTGCACTTTATAACATCCAAAGGAGATGTTTTGGAATAAAGTGCACTCAGATCTCTCTTCCTACAAGGTGCTGAGCACTGTTTTATGGGCTGAATGACTTGAAATCCACCATATTTGGTGGTTGTGGTCATAGTGAAGGAGAATTCTGTACTTTGCAGGAGTGAATCCCTGTATATTACCCACTGTTTTCATTCCTTACTGTAAAATGCAAAGCTCTTTCTATCTTGCTTTTACATTGTATATAACAAATACTAGACCTGGGCACCTTGTGTAGTGTAGATGTTAACAACTTATGCACTGGGAATACTAAAGGGAAATTATATTGAACACTGTGCTTCACGACTTGTTCACTGTGGTGTTCTACAGTGAAGTATTTCCTACTGTGATAGTATAGTATGTACATAACTGTTTGGAATCATAAATGTGACTTAGAGAAACATCAGCATAAACTTTTAAATCAGTATATTTTATAAATTTGTGGAGAGCTCTTTTATAGCTTGTATTCTCAATGACTAGGGGTAACTTATGTGCTAAACATGACTCCAGTTTTGCAAATACTTACGTGTGTAAGTTTCCACTGAAGTCAGAGAGGCTCCTTGTCATATGCCTAAATTTGTGTGATGGAAGACTAATTGACTAGAGGATTTTGTTAACAGCTGTCTCTATCCTAAAGTAACCTTAATCCAAACCCTATGCAAAAAAAAAAAGGTTATAGAAATTGTTTATATCAGTGGTTTTATTTATAGAATTATATCATATATCAGTATTGACAAATACAATAAATCCATGTTTACAGGGATTGTGTGTATCAAAACATGGCTTTGAAGCCCAACATGTTTGTTCTGTGTTTCTTTAATATTAATAATGGCATTCTGAGGTTTTGGAATTGCTCATGTGAAATAGTTTACTACTTTCTTGATGTGAATGTCAACAGTAATTGCAGCATTAATTTCAGGTTGATGTGAATATTGAGATTTGCACTGTTTATGTAGAAGTAGTATATTTAAAGATCAGTCTATGTGCTAATAACACAACCAGTTTTAAGTGGCCTATGTTAAAGTATTGAAAAATAATTGTCAGTGTAATATATTCAGGTTTGCTTTCTGAATGCTCTCTTTGGAAGTAATCTCAATAGTGAACATGGCTCATTTGTAAAAGAATACTTTTTCTCTCCCAAATAAACTTGCTGTAAATACAACAAACAATCCACCATTAATACTCATTATGCAGACAGTATAAGTGAATTGGGAGATTGGAGAACAGGTTGTTTTATCAAGTTTGCACTTTGAGGAGTTTGTGGAACTTTGTCTTCAGGATGAGGACCACAAAAAGCAATTTCAGTCTGATTTCATTTAAGTGTAATAAACTGTTGGATACCAGGTGGATTTGGAATATTGTGACCCAGCTGAAAGAACTTAAACGTTAGGAGCACAGGATGTTAGGAAATGTTGTTTCCCTGTTGGAAAATTTAAGCTGTTTCTTGACAAACTGATGAAACAACAAGAATGTTTGCACAAGATACTAAATGCTAGAGATAATGGCTGTCTTGTCAATCTTTTTTTCTGCACAGGTTTTGAGAGACTGTTGTGAGACAAAAAGTTATTAGAATACATCAGTTGTATCAAGGACAACTTTTATAGCTGAATATTTCTGTGTCCTCTTTGTGCTCTCACGGTAGTTGTTTAATAAAAATTGAAACCCAGGGTAATTCTTTTGGGCAGGGCTAAGTACATTTAGGTGTCACCTTGTATTTGCTTTGAACCAGTTACCCAGGGTAGCTGAAATGTTTGACTCCTGCTGCCTCCAGGTGACAGAGCTCTCGAGGAAGTGGATTTGACACTTCTGAAGTGTCTGAATTTTTAGATTAGCATTACATAAACAACTGCTGATGTAGATACACATTGATACATTGAAACCTGAGTTGCAAACTAGGCAGCTCAAGATTAGGTTTACTTCTTGTTCTAATGTCCCTGCAGGAGAGTATTTACTCTCGGCAGAACAATGTTTTGATCTGTTGACCAGCCTGGAACTCAAGGTCATATAAAGACCCGTGGGCCATGTTTTTCTTACTCAGACCACTGTTTCAAATTTAAAGTGTACAAGTTAATCTTCATCAGTACTACAAATACTTTATATTGTCTTGGTGAAGAGATGCTACACTGTGAATTATGTGTATACTCAGATTAAGTTTTCTTCAAAGTGCTGCTATGCCTCAATCAGCTTTAATGTCTGGTAATGAATCTGTCTGCTGTCAGAAATGCAATGATGTCAGTGCTGTTGTAGGCAGATTTGTGTGAAAAGTCAAATTTCTTATGAGTAGAGATTTCAGTTAGTGTGGGTTTTAATCTAATCTTCAAAGTACTCAGTATCTGGTAAAGCCATTTCTTTGTAATACTTTTAGAAACACGAATACTAGTATAGCAGGTAATTCTGCTAAAGGATTTGGAGAAGTACAAAGAAGAGTACATAACTTATAGTTCCTCTGGTTTAGTGAAATTTCTATACTTTGAGGAAAAGAATCAGTGTACTTGGCATATGCATTGTTTCCTGCTATTAAAAAACCCCTATTAAGTACTTCATTAAACAGTTGGGGCAAGGGGGATCATGTACTGCATCACAGAATGGATTGAGGCTTCAAATTGGCTCTGCTGATGGAGGTATTTTCTCAGCCCTTTTCCGTGGCTACTTTTCTGAACAAAAATAACAATTCCTACACAGCTGTATCCCTTCTCAGTCATCTGAAAACAGAATAATTCTCAGCAGAAAATGTGTTCATTGGTTATAATGAAATGTTGCACAAGCATTTTATCATCTGTGCATGTGTTGTCTGCATGCATGTAGATACATGCTCAATTGCATGTCTAGATCTCAATTTAAAGTAATATGCCTTGATTAAGAGAGCTTGTATTTTAAAAATGGGTTCTGGGCTCACACAGATTTGGAGGACCAGATAAGGCTGCCACAGAAGAGGAAGAAGGTTGTAGGAAGTCAGAGGTGAGAAGCTTCTGGGCAGATATTTTCAGGGGTAATTTTTCCCCTGGCTATCTCCGTGTGCATGTATTATTCACTGGCAATGAATTGCCAGCTTTCTTGCCAGTTATCCAACATAAACATATTTCCTACCTCTGCAGGTCCCTGAGTATATGTGTGTGTGTAGCTTTATAACATTTACTTCATCATATTGAATTTATTTCTTATATCTCAGGTATCATTCCAGGTGTTTTTACTAAATTAATAGTCTTTATTTCTTCCCCCATAAGTGACAGTCTTTTTCAAAATACTGTTTTTACATGGCAAAACATGCTATTGCCTTCCTTCAGTTGAGATAGTTGACTGAATATTCCGGATTGAGAGATCAGAATATAACATGGGTATTTCAGCTGTAAAGGGATAAAAGTGCTTTGATCTTTGTTTGCTAGTGAGAAACACTTCTCAGTTTGGTCCTTTAAGCCCACAAGGCACTGGATTCTCTGAAAGTAGAAATTTGGAGCTGTTCACTAGCTTTCATCTGCCATCACACATTTTTTGTATCACATATTAAATAGATTTTGAATCTTCAGAACCACCTGTGTACAAAAGAAAACTCAGACTGATTCTTGTAGTCTGCAGTAGAAAATGAAGTTATGCTTTCAATTACACAGACTAACTGAAACAGTCTCTTGTTTGTGGTGCCCAGAAACTGCATAATGGAGAAATGCAAGAGACCTGCAGTAATGTAAATTTCAAGAAATCATGTATTTTGACAACCATCATGTTCTGTGTGACAGAAATGGAAGACAGCAACTGGCTGGGAAACATTTTTAAGTGTTTAAGCAGAGATGTTATGGGCTGGTCTGACTAATACTTTATTCAGTGGTAGAAAGGAATCCATATTATTCACATGTAAAATTGCTTTTAAAAATTGGCAACCAATCTAACTGTATTCACAAGAATCATGCAGAAGTCTGCTAACTTCCTTTGAAATGCCAATAATAAAGGAAAGAAAAACAGAACTCTTCTTTATTGCTTCAGGAGCTGCCAAAAAACCTAACAGATGAAACTGCAAATTGATTGCAAACTTCTTACAGCTTTCTTAATACAAAGATATTTGTCAACAAATCCAGCATCAAATCTTGAAATTGGTCTCATTTATGTTCACCTGATTTTCCCTAGTTGTTTTTTTATTTTGTTAAATGTGTAGTTGTCTTAGTATGATTATGACCAAAAGTCTATTTGCATAAGCAGGAGAAAAAAAAAGGATTTAGGATTAGGCCATGTGAATAACAAAAATAAATCTGCTTGGAAAGGTAACCATTTCAAAATATGCATATATATTAATGGTATTTGCTGATAAAACTATGTCTAGCCAAGTACATTTTATCTAAGTTATGGGTGAGATTTTGTGTGACATTCAGCTATGCTAAAAAAGCTTTCAAGTTTAAAGTCTTTGGAGTTTAGGAAAGTAAGAAGAAAGGGGAAAATTTAAAGATGATGCTGCAGAGTGGGGACAATGCTTGAAGTTTGTCCCTGAGTTACTCGAGGTGACTGCTTACAGAGGTATCATTGTATGGTCTGCAGAAACTCACTCAATAGTTCATATGCTTCTTTTCCTATAAAATTAATATACAGTGGAGAAGAAAAATTCACAAAACCAGCAGATACCTCAAAGCTTTTCTCAGGTGTCTCCTTAATGAGTTCTCATCCTTTAAGCAGATAACTCTGCTGACCTTAGCAGTTACTTGTGTTGAAGCTACAGATGCTTGAGAGAACAGGATCCCACTCTCTGGCTCACTGTAGAGGGATGCTACAAATCAGAGCTCAAGGTGCTGTGTCCCTGCTGCTTTTAAGTTCAAGTATTCATACAATTCTGCTTAGTATGTATCACCATGTCAGCCCCATTGGTATGCAGCTGGGGCTGGTCAGCTCAATTTTTTAGTGCTGTCAAATTAAAGGAAGACTTGAGATCTACTTCAGGACCAAAGTGAGAACAGGCTTTGAATCTTAACATGCATCTGGATTACAACTATGAATTAAAGTTTGGCATTGGCTTTCAATCTTGATAGTCTTAAGATGCTTCTGCAGCAAATGTGGATGCTTACAGATGTCTTTACAGTATTGATCTCTCACCTGCAGAGAAAGAAACCTGCAAAATTGTTTCTTGCCAGATAAAAACTTTTGCTGGAGTCCTCGTAGAAGAAATCATCCCTAATTTCTACCTTTACCTTTGAAGCTATAAAGGCAAAAAATGAATTGGTGACAGATTCTGACAGCTGGTTATAAAGGAGCAGGCTGTGTTAATTTGCAGTAAGAGGAACAGGGCGTTCTATTTCATGTGTCAGTGTGGGCAGGGAGTGGGGAGAGGGAAAGAAATGGGAAGAAGGGAATGCTGAGTGCTTTGCCTCGCTGTATTTACAGGACATTCTGGTTGCACACCATTGCTTTTGAAGGACCAATGATTTCTATATTCAGTTAAAATCTTTTTGAATAAAAAAAGCCCACACAGATTAACCTGACAACTTTTCTTCTTGGAAACAGTGCTGTTTTCAACTGGCAAATACAGCATTGTGGACATTGGTTCCTTATTTCCTTAATGCTAGTTATCAACAGATTACAGTAGACTTTTCTTTCTGACAAATACACACCTCTCTCAGTTCTTTGTCATGCCAACATGCAAAACTTTGTGATAGAATAGATAGAAAAGCGGAGAAGATTTTATTAAAAAGAGAATTAATTGAATTGGGGTTTTTTTGCCCAACATTCAGAAAATGAGTATTCTTGGAGTGGGTCCAGAGAATTATTCTGAATTTGATGGGAAAAGTACTAGAAGAAAGGATAATTTTGTGAATAAAGTGGTGAAGAAAATACAGGAAAGCTGTGCCCTCGAAGACTGCTCAGGACTTGTGGAACACTAGTGGAACCAGATGTCAGGTGAATGCTCCTGTCGCTAGAGCTGTTAAAGCCTAACCATGCTTATTGAAAGGATGATAAGCCCAGCCTGTTGGCCAGTCCTGTCAGAGCCCAGGATTTGTGCCATGGCCTGTTCAAAGGCACATGATGAGCCCCAGGGGAGGCATTCTTTGTTTAAGACTATTTTGTACTAATTCTGGATCTGCTGATTTTTTAAAGACTTCTCTCCAGTTATTAACATAATTGAAACATCTAATTTAAATGCAGGATTTTTCATTCTTTCCAAACAGAACAAAAATAGTTGCTGAGCACTCCGTTATCACCAGTGTTTTTCTTGCCTCTGGATATAATGAACGGATGATGTTGCTGAGATTATTCGTTGTCATAGTATTCATACTAATCAATATTTTCTGTCAATGTTTTAAGGTACCTACAGGTTTAGAAATTTTCCAAAGTTGAATGTAGCTTTCGACTCCCTCTGGTGGTCTGGCAATGGAGCTGGCAAATAGTTTCTCTATCACTGACTGCAAACGTTTGAATGCAGTATGACATTGTATTTTATTTTTACCCTTAAAATAGTCCCTTAAAATAGGAATAGTCAAAAATGATACATGGCTCTGAGTTTCTGTTTTGAAAAGTAGAGGCCTAATAACATGCAAAATCGTTGTATCTTTCTAAAACCATATAATTACTATTTTTAAAAAATCCATAATACTATTCTGGACGCTGTTTTCGTAAGTCAAAAGAATAGGAAAATGTCTTTGCCTCTGAGGTTCAATTTACTTAGGAAGATTTTCTTTTATGAGTTTAAGCTAGAGATTAAAGTACAATCTGGATCACAACTAGAATTTAGCTGAACCGTGTCTGTAAGTTTTGTTATTGTGCATGGACAGTGCGGGGTCCCTCTTCATCTATTTCCCTACAAGCAGTGTTGGGCACCAGTTTGAAACAGAGCAGGAAAGAGGCTTACCATGAGAGTAGCACAATGAAAGACTCATTATTAGACCCTAACCTGGCTTTTCCCTGAACTTAAAAGTAGCCAAAGCACTTATGTAAAATCCTTAGACCTTTGAACAAGACTGAAATGTTTTACACTGGCTCAATAAAAATTAGAAACAGCAAGCTATGGCATTTTTCTTCCTGTTTTCTCCCTGTTTCTTACTACATGGTAATATAGGATAGCAAATTTACTGACACCATACCATTGTAAAAATACAGTTGTGGAGCAAGTTGCAATTCAGATAGAAATACATTTATTCAGCCTCCAAAAAACAGTGGAGTGTGGTTTTTTTTTAAATTCTGGGAGATGACTCTTTTTTTTTTTTTTAATGTATGTAAATATTTGCATTTGTGGTTCAGAGGATATTTCCAGGCACGGTGTGACAGGTTTAAAATGTAGTATGAAACACTGAGGTGGAAGAATATGATTTTAGTAGATACTGGCAGTTGAGTGATGCTCTGTTGCCCTTTCACTGACAATGCTGGCTCCCGTTTCACATGGGTGAGCTTAGAAAGGACCTCTTTTGGAGTCTAACTTTTTTTTCCCCAGCACATTTAGTAATTAAACTTTGGATTCAGACAATTCAGACAATGACTGCTAGCCCTTGTCATTTCTTAAAGACTGTGAATTAATATCAAGGGATTTCATAAAATAGTAAAAAATATGTTTGCTTGATTCTACAGGCATACATTCAATTTTCAGTACCAGTTGCCCATTAACTCACAAGTGCAGTATGAACTGAATCACTTTGAAGGCAACAAAATATAAAATCAAAATCCATTGTGAAGAAAGCTTTTGGGGTCCTAAGTTTTCTTGAATTGTTTTATGTATGACATTAACTTTCAAATAGCCATAAGGGCTTAATGGTTTACAAAATAATGTACATTTGCAGATGTAACTATTCTAAAAAAATAAACTCATCTAAGTACAAAACTTTGCAATGTTGAAATAATTTGATAAAGTTTATTTCATTTTTTACATGGCTGTCCTCCTTGCTATGTGGCAGGGGTGGCAGGTTTTATAATGGGCTTTTTGTCAGACTTGATTTAGTGGATACTCTTCAGTCTCACTTCCCTTCAAAGAACATGTTTATACTCTCAAAAAAGAGACAAATGTCACTGTGAAATTCTTTCCTCAAAGAATTTTCATATGGTCTGTTCTCAATTTCATACAGATTATTGGCTTCAGTAGGAATGGAGAACTGTGTAGTTCCTCCTTCTGCCAACAGTGTTGCACTAACTGAAAAAAAAGATGACTTGGGTTCCAGTAAAAGTTCTGCTTCTGTTAATGGTTATGAGCTGAGCTTTTTACTGTAGAGGAATTAATTATCCCAGTAATGAGTTTTGGCCTGAGAATTTTTGCACTTCACATTCTACAAAATAGCAGACGGTAGTGGGAGTTGATTATGATTGCCTTAAAATACAAATAGTATTTGAATTGCATCTCTGATCACTTGCAGTAGGAATATATTTTACATTCTAATAAGCATTGCAATGTTGATTTTAACTGAAAGACAAAAGATTGGTAAAACTACCATTTGTGGTGAGGAAAAGTTTTTAATGTTTACTGTTTTTGTTTTGTTTTACTATGAATATGAAAAAAGGGCTTTTATATTGTCTTCTATAGCATCATATTTCCCTCAAAATTGTTTTCTTTCTCTGATGTGTGCTATAGGTAGAAAACTAATTTTAAGAATCAGCATTATGACTAGCAGTTTCAGATGAACTTCTTTGGAAAAAAACAGCATACCACTGGTCAGCGTGCACACGTAAAACCAGAGTAGTAGCTAAACTTGCATATTAAACACTTTTTCTCTAAATAATGAAACAACGCTGGCATTAAGCATCACTAGCCTTTGACACAAGTTGGCTGTTAATCTTGGATTCTTCCTCACCACTTCAGTGGTGCATAGTATTTGTCTAAGAAGCCAAAAATACGGTCTGGAATAAAAAACCCATTGACCCTGTGAGTTTCCTTGCAGGAGGTTTTTTCCTCTCCTCTGTGTTTTGAGCAGTCTATTTTCATATGTTGCCTTTATAAATGCAAGTACTTTTTGAATTGATTTTTCTGATTCCTTGTTAAAGAATGTTTAATATCTTAGCAGAGATTAAAGTGCTGCGTTATTTAAGTCAGTTTATATTCTCTCTAACATTGTCATCAATTTAAAGGCGCATCACACCTGTTTCTCATAGATCTGTGTGGAGTACTAGTGCAGAAAGTTTCTTTACCAGGTTTATTTTCAGGTTATGAGGAGTATGGGAGTACCATATCAGTGTGTGTATTGGGTTTGTGTGGCCAGGTTTTGGTAGTGGAGGGGACAATGCAGGAATGGTTTCTGTGAGCAGCTGCTGAGGCTTCCCTCACATCCAACAAAGCCAGGGCCAGTTGACTTCAGGATGGACCCACCTCTGGCCAAGGCTGAGTTCATCAGAGATGATAATAAAGGCTCTGTGATGACATATTTAAGAAGGAAAAAATGTTATTGCACAGATGTAATTGTGACCAGGAAGAGAGGAGTGAGAAAGTGTGAGAGGAACAATTCTGCAGACACCAAGGTCTGTCCAGGAGGGGCAGGAGCTGCTCCAGGCACCAGAGCTGAGATTGCCCTGCAGCCCATGGTGAAGACCATGGTGAGGCAACTGTGCCCCTGCAACCTGTGGAGGTCAGCAGGGGAGCAGAGATCCGCCTGGAGCAGGTGGGTGCCCAGAGGAAGGCTGTGAACCCACAGGAACACACTCCTGACTTGCAGACCTGTGGAGAGAGAAGCTCACATAAGGGAGAGTTTGACTTGTGACCCCATGGGGGACCCACGCTGCAGCAGTGGGTTCCTGAAGGATTGCATCCTGTGGAAAGGAACTCACACTGCAGCAGTGGGTTCCTGAAGGATTGCATCCTGTGGAAAGAAACTGACACTGCAGCAGTGGGTTCCGGAAGGACTGCATCCTGTGGAAAGGGACCCACACTGCAGCAGTGGGTTCCTGAAGGATTGCATCCTGTGGAAAGGGACCCACACCGGAGCAGTTCATGCAGAACTGTAGCCCATGGCAAGGACTCACACTAGAGAAGTTCATGGAGAACTGTCTCCCATGGGAAGGAGATGAGAGCTTCTCTCCCTGAGCAGTGGCAGAAACAACAGGTGATGAATAACCCTGTTCCCTGTCTGCCTGTGCTGCTGGCGGGGAGGAGGTAGAGCCCAGGAAAGAGGGAAGGGTAGTGCAAAAGTGTTTCAATTATTTAGTTATCCTGCTCTGATTTTGCTTGGTAATAAATTCAATTAATATCTGCAAATTGAGTCTGTTTTACCCATGACAGTAATCGGTGAGTGACCTCTGCCTGCCCTTATCTCAACTCATGAGCCCTCTGTTGTATTTTCTCTCCCTGATCCCTCGTGGGGGGCAATGATCAGGTGGCTTTGGGGAGTACCTGGCACCCAGCCAGGCTCAAACCACCACAGTGTGTAGCTGTGTGGTGAAAGGTCTTGTTTCTTCATACCAAACTCATGAAATTGCACTGAACAATCCACTTCTCTTCCCCCTGTGTTTGGGGGGAGTGGAGTGGGAGAGATGGCATAAGGCAAAAGGATAGAATAATACATCTTAGTTATTTTCCTGCATTTTGAATTTCCCTCCTTTTCACAAACCAGGTACCTCTCTACATTTGCTAGCCAGCAGCCTCACCTTAAAAGCAGACTCTTTCTAGCCAAGTACATGCATGCTTTGTTCTGCCCCAACAGTGTAATAAAGATGCCATTTCCAGAAAAAAATACTTTGTTTAATCCTAAAAAAATAAGGGAGATTTGATGAAATATGCAGGATTGTGCTTCTTTTCTCTCTTACTTTTGTGCTATCCATTCCAAATCCATTATTGAATTCCACTATACGTTATCTACAATGGAATCTTCTCAGAGCAGTCTTGGGTGCATGGAAGTTTCATTAATGTTAAAGCAGATTTCCAAAGCATTTCAAAATGTGCTAATTCCTTTTGCATAGATGTCTCACTTCATAAATAGGAACTGTTGAGATAATAAGCCTGATGAGCTGTAATGTAAATATTTTAATACTATTGCTGGTAGCTTTTAGTGAAATGATGTGATCAGTGCTAACAAAATGTGTTAGAATTATTGTGAATCAATATGAATAATCTTCATAGGCAAATTAGCTCTTTTAGAAAGTTGAAATTTTAGTTTTCATAGTCTTATCTGTAAAAGAACTAGTAGTTATAATATCAAACATTTTGAATTATCATTCTTCTCCTTTCCAATTTTTAACTTATTTAATTTTCTCCCCACCCCCCAAAAAAAAGTTATAATCAGTTTGACATTCTCTGGATCTTCTGAAAACTCATGTATGCAAAAAATGCTTTTTTATTATCCTTTTGGTTTTGTTACATTATTAAATCCTCTCTCCAATCCTGCAGTACTCCTTTGTATTTTTAAACACTGTTATGTTCTGCTACCATTTAATTTCACTCTTAAAACCTGAAGGATATTTTGTTTGAAATGGGACTGTAACCTGAAGGTGCTATAAAAGCATCTTGACTAAAAGGCAAATTACAATATCTGAATTTTGTGTTGTTGTGCTTCTAATAACACTGGGAATGAAAAGTAGATTTCTTGAAACACTGAACAAGATATTTTATGCCTGTCATAGAGTTGCAATAGTTGTGATGGTCTAAGGATGATGGAAGCAAAACAAGATTTGTTGGAAGTAGTATTTATTACATTGAGGATATAGCTGGAAACACACTAACAAGCTTTTAGTTGTGTAAGCCTGGGTCTGTTTCCTGGTCAATTCAATGGAAACTGCATCTCTTTAAAAAAAATCCATGCTGGTTTCTCATGTTTCAGCTGATGATCAAAACTAAGCAAAACTTCAGAAGCACCTGTCTCTGGTATATGTGAATGCATATGAAGCAGATAATTGTTTAGAAATTCTGTTATGTAAACAACTCTCCCAATGCCCACAGGCAATGTCATATTTGTATTTTGCAGATCTATTTATAGAACAGCCAGTAGTTTTATGTTTGCCCAAATTTGACTTCTGACTCTGTGAACTTGTAATTTCTGAAGATTAACATGTGCTAGATACAGAGGAGTGCAATGCATGTAAAAGCAAAATTCCAGCCTGTTTTTTCAAACTTCATCTGTGACAGCCATCCTCATAAACTCAACCAAATTCCTGTGGTTTCACTGACTTCTCATTTCTGTGGATGAAAGAATTAATTCTACAAGTCTGCACTACGACCCAAAGACATGGAGTGAGACAGTTGAATTATTTGAATTCATGTTGTATGTAGCTGCACCATATCTCTGCAAAACATTTCCTTCTGTCAATGGGCTGTATCCTTATTTTGTGAAAAGTAAGTAGCAATTTGTGAGATTTTTTCCCCCCAGCTACATCTTCTTGCTACTTTTTCAGTGAAAATCAGTCATGGCTGAAGCTTTGCAAGATGTATGTGGGTTTGTGGAATTGCTGTGTCACGTTTGTGTGACGCCGTGTTTGATAAAGATACACAGTACCATTGGAATTGTTTCAGCTAGTTGTTTTTATTCTAGCCAAATGTTGGAAATTCATTTATTTTCTCAAAACATAGGGTGTAATCTCTGTGTCTTTCTTTCCCTCTGGTTTTTGACTAAGGCACAGGTGAGCCCTGAGCAGGTGGCCGTGCTGGGTTCTGCTGGGTCTGCAGCACGGTGTGAGCTCTGCGGGCTGCTGGGACTGCAGAGACCACGGTGGGGGCACGGAATGGGAAAGCGCCATTGAAGGGGCTGAAACCCCTCTAGCGAGTGAGATCAGTGCTTCCAAGGTGGGCGAGGAGGTGACCAGCGACGGGATGGAACTAATTTTAGTTACCTTTTGTGGAAGGGGAAAGTGTAGCAGAGGGAGGCGGTGTGTGCTCATCCCTCGCCTGTGGAGGAACAGAACCACCCGAAGGTGCCATCGCCACCCACCCCTGGTGTGAGCTGGTTCT